CTGAGGAGCTTCAGTTCACTGTAATATACTGTATAATAAACTGTATAATATATAGACATCCTAGAAGAGTGGATGTCTGTTACTGAGTCTCTGACGTCCCTCACTGATCCTCACAGTGTAAACATGAATGTGTAAGCAGCGCACAGGATAAACAGTAGGGGACGGTATGACAGAGGGTTCATGGACTCTCCATCTAGATTTACTGCTGCAGGACTGTATAGACCTGGTTTGGAGGTCTGTCTTCAAGGGTACAAGTTTGGACAGACCAGTGAGGAAATGAGGTCAAGAGGTAATAGTCAACATGTAGCACTTATTTTATACAGCACTATTGAAACTTGGAGAATAACATTTACATAAGAAAACTCGAAAAACAATGTACAATTAGAGTTGCACATACTAATGATAGCACAGCCCAATGAAACTGGTTTGCTAAAGTTTAATGATTATAGAACTTCAGTCTAATCACAGTAATAGACAAGAGATACCTGAAAAGATAAGAGCTACCTGAACACCACTCACACCCCCCAAACACACACACACACACACACACACACACAGAGACAAGCTCACCTATTTACTGACCTCTGCTTTTAAACATATGGCTGCTGGAGCAAAACATCATCCAAAATAATAACTTTACAGGAAAAGAAATGGTGAACATTATATTCAACGTTGTTTGCGGTGATGTTTATCATCTTTTCTTATCTTCAAGAGCAGTTTGTGTGTTTATGTCTATGACAACATTTCCTAGAATGGGTGTTGACATGTTTATTGTGGTTTATCTGTATTTTACTTCAGCTTTGTAGGTCTGACCAGTGGAGTTAGTGCTGAAAGGCCTTGTGCTCTGCTTGTCACTTCAGAAACACAGTAATGTTCAGTTGTGCACACATAGAGCAAATTCAGCATCACCCTGAAAGGTACTGTCATCATACACAACAATAATGACAGGCCAGTTAGTTAGAGCTTACATTAGGACTCATTTTTACATATTCCTATAAAGATATACAAGTGGGTGTAAGGATGATACTTCAGAATTCACTGGTGCAGGAGTCTATATAGGCTACCTGGTCTGGAGGTCTGTCTTCAAGGGTACAAACATGGTCAGACAAGTGGTGGACAAGGTCAAGAGGCTACAGCCAACATACAGAACTTATTTCAGCACTTATGAAACTGTTATATAAAATTTATAAAGTAAAACTAGAAGAATGAAGTACAATTACAATTAGAGTTTGCATATTATTATCATGATATATAATGACTCACATGTCAATATTACAGTATAAAAACAACATTATTAAAGTGAACAATGTCATGTATTTCATCATAATGTTTTTTTTTGTTTGTTTGTTTGTCTGTTTTGTTTTATTTGTGATTTAACTTCTAATTTGAATGTTGGCATTAGTAGTTTAGCAAAGTATCTTAATATTGATGAATTTGGTGACAAGACAGAAAAGTGCTGTAAATCAATGTTGTGGCAAAAGTCAACAAATGATCACAGTACAGTGAATATGCGAAGAAACCAAAACAAATTCTTTTTTCTAACATACAGGCAGGACAGGCGCTTCATTTCTGGTTTCTGTGTTGTTATATACATAAAACTCACACAATGTTAATACACATAAAATGTATCATTAGCTGACTGTCTAAGCGCTGCTTCTTAATGCTTTGCCAGTCTTTACTACAACTAAGTACATGCATCGTGTTTTCACTTTAATTACAATAGATTATCATTGGTTTGGGATATTTTATGGAAAAAGACTAAAACATCAAAAATATAAATAATGTACTTTTCTTTTGACATCTTTTCTGTTCTTGAACAAACAGTGTGTTTCTGTCTGAGTCAAAATTTCCTATCATGGGTGTTAAAATGGTCGTTGTGGTTTCTCTCTATTTTGCTTCAGCTTTGTGGGTTTGATCAGTGGAGGAGGTGTGAAAAGGCCTTGTGCTCTGCTTGTCACTTTAGTAACACAGTAAATTTCACAGGTTTTGCTGTTATCAAAATTAAAGTAAAACGTTTGTGTCTGTCCATGTTTACAGATGCTCCAAAGAAAAAACAAAAACATCACTCACTGCCTAATAATACTGAGCTCTTGTCTGCAGTACTGCGTACAGCCAGTGGGAGCATTTCAGCAGAACAAGCTCAGGAGAGTTTAGTTAATGTGTGAAAACTGATCCATGTTATGTCAAGTGGACACTACTTAACTTTCAAAATCTCAAAATCGCTGTACTGATCACTGTATGACAATTAGTTTTTGTGTCCTGTTGTCAGTGTAGCAGTGTGCACACTGTATAATGCTAAAGAGATCCCCAACAGAGTGCACTCAATCCCCCAAATCCTGCTGACTCACGAAAGTAAACATGAGAAGTGTCTCATATTTGCCAAATTACAGCTTCAACAACTTGTTGTGGTTGTTTCTGCACTGAAAACAACAAAAAGGTGTTCTGTACTGACAGGCCTTAGGAGAGTTGGTGTGGACTGACATTGAAGCAGGAAGGTGAACCATATTAAAACAGAGTGCCATCTCACTGATCATACAGCCACAGAGAACCAGTAGAGGTTTGAAGATTGAGGGCAGAGAGGAGTTATTTAGAGGGCTGTGGTCTGACGTCATCCTTTTCTAGTTAAATAGTGGTAATGACATCTTCAGCTAATGAGGAATCGAAACTCAGTGATGCAGAAAGCTCCATGATGACAATAGACCTCAACTGAGCTCGTTTTTTTACTTAGATTTAATCTCAATTACAAATAGATTGTGTAGAAATAATAACAGAAGACAAACTGGAAAGCAAACTGTAAATGATCTGAGCAATCAAAATAGACCCACAACCCACACAGCTGCACTCAGACAATCACACCATGCAGTAAATCACATATATGCACCTTCAAGCTTGAGTCCAGAGCAGCACAGAGGGGGTTAAATCTGACATCAGACCTCTCACTACCTCAAAGAGTACAACTGATGATCTGTTTGCACTTAAACCCCATTAACTCAACATGGCAAACCATGTTTACTGACTGCTTGCATGCTAATCAGTAGTACCTTTAACACCAGTCATCACATATAGAAACAGATAAAGCTCTCTCTGCACTTCCTTTTTCAAATTCGCTACCATATTTGGATGCACACAGTTTCAGGACTCAGATGATTCTATTTGAACATACTACACATGAAGATGTCCCTTAAATGACTGATATTTAATGTAAAGTATCTGGATCAGTGCAGATTATGGATCAATAACATCTTACATCATGTGATGACCCTCTAATGTGCTCTTTTACTGGCCAATTTCTCTCAGATACTAAGCTCTTTTTAAAAGATGAGGTTTATCTCATTGAAAACTGTGTTCAAGATTCTGGTAAGTCATTGAAAGTGGTAAAAGCTCTGTGCTGTGAAAAAGTAACTATAAAAGTAAAACTAAAGGTTTTACCTAATTTCTTTGATTTTTTTGCACATTTGTTACTTTTTTCAGATCTTTAATCAAAATTCATTAGACAAAGACATGGACAACTGGAGTAAACATAGAATAAGTTTTTTGTTTTGTCTTTTTATTTTTTAAATGATCATTTCACTTACTAAAGCCAAATAATTATTCAACACCAACTGGCCCTGTGTGAAAAAGTATTTGCCTCTCTTTAGTTACTAAATCAACCAATTCACCAAATGTAGTTGATCATTTGGATCAATTCAATAAGACTCATCCAAGCTTCATTACTGACAGCCCTGTTGAATCTAAACATCATTTAAACAGAACTTTTCCAGCACTGTGAAGATCTCAACAAGCAGCACACTGTGCCACAATGAAAAGAAATTCCAAAATAAAGAAGAGTTATTAAAATGTATAAGTCTTGACAGCCATTTCTAAAGCTCTGGGACTCCAGTGAACCACAGTGCAAGCCATTTTCTCCAAATGGAGAAAAATTGGAAGAGTGATGAATTTTCCCAGAAGTGACAGGCCTACCGACATTCTTCCAAGAGCACAGCAGCAACTCGTCCAGGAATTTACAAAAGAACCCAGATGAACATCTAAGAAATCACAGATGATTCTCATCTCAGAGAAGGTCAGTGTTCATGATTCCACCGTTAGAAAGCAAAATCTCCATAGAAGAGTTGCAAGGCAAAAACACTGTTAATCAAGAAGAAAACTCCTCTCACAATTGCCAAAAACCACCATGATGACTTCCACACCTTTTGGAATAATGTTTCATGGACTGATAAGTTGTAAGTGGAACTTTTTGGTAGACATGAGTCCCATAACATCTGGTGTAAAGCTACAGTATTCTACTAATCACAACATACCAACAGTAAAACATGGTGGTGGTAGTATGATGGTGTAGGGATGCACTGCTACAAGACCTAGACAGCTTGCTATAATTGTTGGAGCCATGAATTCTCCTCTCTACTACAGAACAATACCCAGTCTTCAGTCTGTGATCTGTAGGTCAAGCATAAATAGGTTATGCAACAAGATAAAGACCCATTGCACAAGGGCAATTCCACCTCTGAATGAATTTAAGTTTTGGAGTGGCCTAGTCACAGTCCTGACTTGAACTCAATTGAGTGCTGTTGCAGGACCTTAAAAGGGCAGTTCTTGCTCAAGAACCCACCAAGTTATTATGTTTAGGGGGACAATTACACATAGTTACTATAGGTGTTACAAAACTTAGTTGCTTCAATAAATAAAATGATTTTTTATGAGAATCTGAAACCATTTAGTGACAAATCTGCAAAAATAGAGAAAAAATATGAGGAGGCAAATACTTATACACTGCACTGTAGCTTGGAAGGTCAGAGTAATATGTGAAAACAGTGTTTTAAAGGATGTAAATACTAATCCTTTCATGATTTATGCAGATGTTGGTGCTCAGGAGTTCTTCCTTTGAGTTTTCCTGAAATGTATTGTTTTGTGTCTCTCTCTGTGACGTGTGCTTTGAGTGTAAGAACACAGGAAGTGTTGATCGTTGAACGCATTGTTCAGTCAGTCAGTCAGTCAGTCATTACGGGGACAGTATGGAGTTCAGGTCACTCTCTGTAATACTCTGTGAGTAAATGTTCTCTTTATGTCTTCATTAGAGTGAGAGCTGCTGTATGAAGGTGTTAATATTCAGTCTGAGGGTTCTGAGTGATCAGCTTCTGTGTGATTCAGTAACTGTATGTAGTTCAGATAGTTTACAAGCTTTTTTTATGCTGAAATTTAGAGTTTGGAGAGTTTCATTGCAAAAACATATGAGCTCTACTCTGCATTGTGGGTCATTATCAGTAAACACGTTTTATTTTGACCTTAAGACAGAATGACGTTTTGTATAAACTAGGAAATGAACATTTAATTAAAATAGACAGCTCACATCTGAGTAATTCTTAGTGACATAAAATATCATAGCCTAATCTTAAACTTATTGCTCACTTTTGTAGTGTTGAATGATGATGGCTTTGCTTATGTGTGTTCCTCTTTCAAATTTATTGGATGCAAAATTACATTTTTCAGTTTTTTCATATTCATTTTTTCTTAAGTTAAAGGTTTGTATGATTTTTTTACAAACCTTTCATTTTAGTTTCTGTTAGTCAAACAGCACTTGATCACTTTATCATTGATTTATCAATCAATTATTACAGAATTAAGCAAACCAAAAACACCCCCCTCCCCACCCATCCTCCCTGTACTCCCTTCTGTAATCTGTACTTTACATCACTGACCATACATTAAATAAGACGATGAATAGAATGAGTTAAAAGACAAATTAGAAGAAATTTGCTAGTCTATAAAATGTGTATGTGTACGATTTGCTCCAGTCTTTTCATCACATTAAACAAACATGTCTCCATGTCTGAAGAGTAGATGCTCCAGTGTTACTGATTTTAGCTGCAGCCAGTTCTAACAGTACTATAGTCATGTAGTAAAAACAGTCAGTGTTGTAAATTAAGATCATGTGGTAAATGTTCTCTGTGCAGGGATTCTTTAGGAGATGTTAAACCAGTGATCCATATCTTCCTTTGTTTTCCTGTTAGGGCTGAATTGAAGTGTTCGTTATGCAATAAAACAGCTGGATCCACAGAGATTTCTTTACTAACCGGAGCAGATCATATGTTAGTAACATTTATTCAGAACTCAATCCTCACACTCCTACAACATCTGCAATAATGTTCCCATTTGTTGTTGTGGGTGATGATTACAGTAAGGATTTACAGCAGCTTTTTTTTCCAGTGTAATGTGACTGTTTAAAATAGATCAGTTGGTGATCAGAGTTTGAATACTGATTATTGATCACGATGTGCTCAGGTCTTCATGTCTGGTGTCCATCTTTTACAGGGTGATAATATAAAAGACTTTTACCCCCAAAAGAAAGATTAGCAGGTGACTGTAGCAGTTGTGTTGTGACAGATGAATGTTGTTCCTGATGCTATTACTTTTTCAGTATTATGAGGCAAAGTGTGAACAATTCTGCAGTTTAAGAACACGTCACTAACCTGACATAGACGTTTTCTAAGGACTTTTCTCAAGAACACATTTAAATGAAAACTTAGAAAATTGTTGGTGAATGAGGCCCACTGTGTCCAACCTGTAACATAACAATTCAGTAGATCTTACTGTAATTTCATAATTTAAATATATTTTAAAATATATTTTTAAAATAAGGATAAAAATAATCATTCTTAGCCATTTGAAAAATTATTTTGAAATAGTTTTATGCATGTATATAACAGTGTACAAATATAATTGTCAACAGTTTAGAAAAGTGTACCTGAGCTACATAAATTTGTTTTCTTCTTCTTTAATATCTAATGTTTACAGTAAAGTACAAAATAATTCAGATTTAGTCATAATTTGTCCAGCTGTTGTGATGTGAAAAAGTCACAGTTTGGTGATAATGACTCTTTAAAAAAGTTTTTTTGAAAAATATTCATTCGTTTTTTAAATCTGAAATATTCTGTATCTGGAGTTCTACTGTTCACTGTTGTCAGATCAGAAATGGTGTATTTTATCTGCTCTTGTGCTGGATGTGAAAGCTGGTTTGTGATTTTAGCTGTTGAATGATGATGAACTGATCTGTGTATAATCTGTATGTTCTTTAACCCTCAGTCTTATGCAGTGTTTTATATAGTCTAATCATGTGTTAGTGACAGTATCAGTGGTGGTGGTCAGTGCTGTTGTAGACGTGTTGTGAGACTCTGCAGTGTTTGGTGGTGGTCAGTGCTCTGTGATAAACACACTGATGTGCTGAATTTACTGAAATATAAGGTGAATGTTGCTGCAGTGGGACACTTTCAGAAACATTACTTTCTCCAGCTCAGCAAACCTTTATAAAAAGCTCAACATCTCCATTACAGAAACAGTACAAAGGAAGTACAAACACAGACAGAATGATCTTCTTAGAACCTCTGTTGATCAACTCTGGATGTTTCATGTGATTCTGTTAAAATGGGAGTCAATAGTTACAGTATTGTTAAAATTTACAGTCAGAGTGGGACACTTCATTTCTTAGTCCGGCGGTCCTCAAATTGGTCCTCAGGGGCTCCAGACAGTCCACAGTTTTGCAGACCCTGAGGATGGGTTTGAAAACCATTGCATGCTATGAAAACGCCTAGCTATTTCTGTCATTTAATCTACTGATCTCTGTTAATAACATGGTTTCTCTTCACTGTTGCTGGGACATTCTGTTACTGTAGAGGCAAAGGGGCAGGAAAGTTAGCTCAAAGCACACACACACACAACACACACACACACACACACACACACACACACAAACACACACACACACACAAAGTACCCTTCTGGGTTGCAGGGTGGGGAAAGCTGGAGCCTATCCCAGCATTCATTGGGTAGATGGCAGGATACAACCTGGACAGGTTGCCAGTCCATCACTGGGCAGAGCTCAAAACAATAAATAATAATATAAAATAATAAAGTAAACCTCAGAAAGTTGAAGTCTGTATATATTGATGTCAGCCTGTATGTCCTTTTGTTCTATTCCTTAATTAATCAACAATCATGTTTTAAATGTTTTAATGACTTTTTTGTTGTGCTCACACAGTAACTCCTCCTTTGGAGCCTCACCAAATTCTCACAATAGACTACCAGCGAGACGCTCAGTGAAAGGTTTAAGAACATTGTTTAATGATTTATTTTGTAATATGTATGAAAACTATGTTTATGCCTGATATCTGAGTGTCTATGGAAGAAATTCTCAAACCAAAGTTGTAGATGTAGACATGTAGATATATATATATATTTTTTTTCCCCCACAAATAACTTTCTTAAAAATCACAGATCTGTCTGGACAACTTTGGTTTGAGAATTTCTTCCATAGACACTCAGATATCAGGCATAAACATGTTTTTATATTTAAGCCCACTTAAAATGACTTACAGACTGCCCCAGTTTAACAGTAATACTCTCTCTCACTTTGATAATATGTTGGTAAAGTGGGCCAAATAACACAAAGGAAAACATTCTTAACTTTGAATGTGCACTCATATAACAAGATTTTATTCTGAATTATTATCATTTTTAGTTGTTTATTTATCAATAAATTTTGCACAGCAAAAATGGCAGCTGGCAATTTCAAATTATATAAAAAATAAAAAACAAAATAAAAAAACAAAAAACACAACAAAAACAAAACAATGTTTTTGTTCCAGTGATGACCTGTATAGTTTATAAATCCTACATCACTTATTTCTTTACCATGTTTTTAAACTTTACATGTTAACCTCACCACCTTAACACTTTACTTTCAAAGTTTGAACTCAGTTATGACTTTATATCATTTATGTATTTACACATGAAAAATATATACACAAGCTTAATTGTCCCCCTTTAATAATCTCTCTATTACATCAGCACAGTTTAGTCAGGTCACTCTCTGTAATACTCTGTGAGTAAATGTTCTCTGTATGTCTTCATTAGAGTGAGAGCTGCTGTATAAAGTAGTTAATATGCCTCTCTGTGTTTAAGTAACTGTGTGTAGTTCAGGAGGATGTGTTTAGGCACTGGCACTAAATTGGTGAAGGGGCACAGGAATGACTTGTTTTTAAAGTGATTTAATGTATGCAAAAATAGCAGTAGCTGCGTAAATTAAAACGCACCGTGTGCTCACTGAGAACAGTGTCTGATGGTTTACAGCGGTGCTGTATCTGTATCTGTGTGTGAGCGACATGGAACGTGTTGCTTTTCATTTTGGTGCTTAGAGTCATATGAAAAAGTTTGAACACATTACAGCATGATAACTGTAACTTTTTTCACTTAGTTTTAGGTTTGAGTTGCTGTACTGGCCTTTCAGCCTCATTAAATCTGTCTGTAATAACAGCTAATATTTCATAATAATGCATCACATCCTCTGTTTCTGTCTCTACTTTAGTGCTGACTGTCCTCATCCACAGTGGACAAACTCAAGGTAAATCATTCACATATGCATGTACTGAAATATTTTATTTGCATTAATAAACATTTGTACATACAAATTAAACCTTTCCCTTAATAAATGACTAAAAAAGTGGCTCAAATCAGTGAAGTCACAAGTGTTAACATGTTTATTGCCAGTTTGAGATCAGTGCAATAGTAAATTAAGCTGATCATGTTGGTGTTAGTAAATCAGTGTGGATCAAAGATGTTTTTCTTTTAGGGATAAATGTTTGTTGTTGAGTGTTTACAGATCAACCAAAGGTTATAATTAAAGAAACTTCAGGGCAGAAAGAAATATTCATAGGAAAAACTGTCACTCTAAAATGTGAAGTAAGGGGAGGAGGAGACTCTGTGTGGTCTTACTGCTGGTTTAAGGATGGAGTAGAAGTTCAGCCCTCTGAAGATCAAAGGTTTACAGTGACAGCAAATGACAGTTTCTATTGACCAAGTAATAATTCTTAGACTCTAAGAGACTTTTCATTTATTATTATTATTATTATTATTATTATTACAGCCTTTTTTTCCTTTTAAACCTCACAAGAGTCAAGGGTTCCTCTACATGTCTGTGTAATGTTTGGTAAAGCCAAATAAGACAGATGCAAAGAGAGAATTTCAACAACTTGAAGTCTAAATGTTTACATTTTATATGTACAAATGTTTAAATAATACATTTTCTGTTATATTGATAAATATTCACTGACTGATCAGTTTATTAGGTACTCCTACCACAGGTACCTACACTCAGTAGCCATTTTATCAGAAACACTTACCATATAGGTACTCTTTAGATGGGGCTGGTAAACTGGACAGAAACAGAGGGGCTACAGTCAGTAACTATAGACTACAAAGTGCACCTATATAGTAGGTGTTTCAGAAAATCTCTGGTAAGTGGCCACTCAGTTTACACAGCAGAGGTAACTTATTACTGTCGTCTATTATGATCACTATTAACAAAGTGGTTGTGTTTGAAATATTTATAAATCACTTTATTCTTTTACTTTAAGCAGAACATAAACCAGCTGTGATGGTGTTTCACAGCTGTGTCTACAGTGCAGGCACTATTGCTCAGAGCTGTGGATCAAGCAGAGTAAACCATGTTGCGGGCTCAAGGAACAAGGCCTTACGATTTTTGAATACTGACACTTTAATTAGGAGACGAGGAGATCTGCAAAACATACAGAAATACCTTTCAATAGGGACAATGGCTCACTCTGCACCTCGCATTACTCTCTGCACAGAGATTCTGAAGCAATTTACTCACACACTTAGTTTTTTCTACTAAATAATATTTCCTCTATGTTTTAAAGATTGTTTAAGACCATGAAACTAAAGACACAACCGTTCAGTAACACAATATCACTCAAGAGTTCTAAAATGGTGACCCAGCAAAGCGAACTATGAATTACCCCAGTCAGTACATCAAAACAGGCTCATTGTTCAGTTTCTACCATGCTAGCTTACCAAGAGCTCTAAACTCCAGCAATATAACAAATATACAATGAAATTCGACACCATACCTTTTGAACAACATAAACAGAGTAATATGCTCACAAATAAACAACAGCTCACCTGCAAAACAAACAGATTGCTGTAATGAGTGATGCATTAATTAGCTGTGATTTGCTAATTATATTCTGTAAGAGACAAGCACTTTGCGCAGTCTTGAGCAGCCTGTCACTGAATTGTAGTGATGAGGTGGAGTTGTTTTTATTTATTTTTTTGATAATTGGCTTTTTTTTTCCATATCTTCTGTTTATCATGTAAAGTTATAATACAGTATGACTGCTGTAAATAAACAGAAATTACTGTCATTTGACACTAAATCTTTTACACTGTAGTATGAGTGGTCTCTACACTCAAAGTAAATGTATTACTTCCACTATAAATATGTAAAAGTTCTGCTTTGCTGCTGTGCTGCATTATTCTTTTATAAAACAAGCTTTAGCCTGATAAATCCTCAGTAATAACAGTTCAGAGCAGGGTGGTCTACTAAGCTGGCTGAGAGCATGGATCAGGACAGATTTGCATAAGACACGTCATGTCGATGTAACTATTAATGAAATGTATTCTTGATAGAAATATGTTTATACAGAAACTGAATAGATTAAATATAAAACAGAACTAATAACTGTGCTGTAATTTTATTATTTTTCTGTTCCACAGTCTCACTGTTTAACAATACAGGCTTATGCATTTTTATTCTTTTGTCATTTACACATATTTACTGATGGAAATAACAGCATATTGTGTCAAACTAGTTTGAAAACATTAGGAACTTTTAGACGAGTTTATGTTTAATTTCACTTCACATAATATTTGGTGGGTTGTGAAATAAATATTACCTGTACATGAGGGTCCTGACCTGAACAAGCTGTGCTTTAAAAGAATGCTGTTGTTATGGAAATGTGATTGGTTAAAACAACAGCAACAATATAAAAGCAAAATTAACAAATAAAATTGCACATTATTATACATCACATTATTGCATCAGAAGAAGTACAGAAACTACAAGAACCGCTCTTTATTACATACACCTGCAGAACAGAGAACTTACAGAACACTGAAACCACAGGAGAGGTCACCACTAGCCACATACATCACCCAGACGGTGACCCCCCCTCACACACAAAACCCACAGCCCCCCACACCAAACAACACAAATAACATGTATACATAACTTAAACTAACAGACAAAACATAAACAACAACATTTAGTCCCTTTACTGGAGGACACACAGTACCATGAGTCTTTGCATGTTGTTATCTGCTTAGCCACACCTGTAGAGTTTCAGGAGGTAGCAGAATGATGCAATACATTATTATTAGTATTAGCATTATTATCAATAAATACATAAAGTACATAATTAATAGATAGATAGATAGATAGATAGATAGATAGATAGATAAAATAAGCACAACATGATAAATCTGAGTGAATCAAACTTAAGAAACCAAAAAGGTTTTTCTCTTTAATTACAAATCTGAAGAAGAGTTATTCTCTGACTTCTCTATCTTTTAATGTGCTATCATTGCAGCACCATTTTCACAGTAAGTACATTTCCTTCTCTTTGACAGTAAACAACACGCATCCTCTGATATTTGCCCAATAGAGTGTACAGTGGTGTGAAAAAGTATTTGCCCCTATCCTAATTTCTTCCATCCTTGCATATTTATCACACTTGAATGTTTCAGATCATCAAACTACTTTTTAATATTACACAATAATAACTCAAGTAAACACAAAAATGCTAAATTTCATTTAGTGAAGGAAAATGCTGTTCAACCTGGCCCTGTGTGAGAAAGCAATTGCTCCTTTAGCTACTAAATTAACCAGTTAACCACATTCAATTAATTATCGGGTTGAATTTCACTAGTCACACCCAGACATAATTACTGCCAGACCTGTTGAATCTAAACATCACTTAAATAGACCCTGTGTGGCAATGTGAAGCAGCTAGAAGGTCTTAAAAAGCAGTATATGATGCTACGTTTTAAAGAGATTCAAATACAGATGCGAAATAAAGTCACTGAACTCTACCAGACTGAAAAGGGTTACAAAGCCATTGCTAAGGCTCTGGGACTCCAGGGAACCACACTGAGAGCCATTATTTACAAATGGAAAAAAAAAACTTGAAACGGTGGTGAACCTTCCCAGGAGTGGCTGGCCTATCAAAATTTCACCAAGATCACATTGATGACTCATTCAGGAGGTCCCAAACGAACCCAGAAGAATACGTACATGACGTCACTGGGGCTGCCGAGGTCAGGTTCGCTAAAGCTCAGTGGTGACCCTGTGCGCACATGTAAAATGCTTTATATCCTATTTATAAATCAGCTAAATAAAATGCTCAGAAAATATTTTAAAAGAGACCCCCGCTCATTTGAAGACCCCTGCTCTATATAAACTTAAATATGGAGGTTTTCAGACAATTTTAGTCCAAAATTTAGCACAGAAAAAATAAAACACTGAAACAACCTTAAAACAGCACAAATTTTTATTTTATTTTATTTTATTCCCAGCATGTTTAAATTCAGCAAATAAACATTAATTGTGCGCTAAATGCACATAAGTGTGTTCTCTGGGGGGCGCTAGTGAGCTGGTCATGGAGTAGGCTGTGTATTTGGCGTGCACTGCTAAAATTCGATATAAAATTATATATTCGGCACCTTTGGCTCAGCAAAACGTACAGAATATATTCCTAAGTTTATCATCTTTCATTGTTCATTCGTCTTCTTTGATATTGACGCGTACATGGCCAAGAATTTGCGTCAATACACGTACACGGGGAGGAGCATCACTAACGGGCCTAGCGACTCGCCGCCGTCAGCTAAGCAGTCTGACATGGCGGACACGAAAGCCGAGATTCTTTCCTCTCTAAAAGGGGACATTTCCGCACTTCTCAGGTCAGAGCTACAGTCTTCTCTGGCTGCCGAACTCGATGGTGTGCCGCGGCCTATCGTGGCTAACCTGGACTACCACTAAGATTTCATTGAGATTCTTCGCCGTGCCAGAGAAGCAGGACCCTTGTAGTTCAGCCAGTGTGGTGCGCACCAGAGCCGCTTTCATGTGATGGCATTCGCTACGGCGTTCTCCATCCAGCCAGGCTCCGCATCACGCACAACGGAATAGAAAAGGACTTTCGGGATCCCGCGGAGGCAATGGCTTATGTGAAGGCGAATGTGCTGTAAGGTGGATGAACACAACAGGTTTGGTGTAGGGTTACTTCACTAGAGAGACACATTTAATTTCATATTTCTTAGAATAGTCGTGATGTAAAACAAGCGCAGCTACAGCCAATCTGTTTTCTAATAACCTTCAGTTGTGTTTACAAGAAAGAACAAATGTTTATAATTTAGATTGCTTACCTTACTGTATGTACTCTGACCCGGTGTCTACATTAGACAATTAATAGCTAAAGGTGCCCCTCAGTTTAATATGTATAGCAGAGGGGCCTGTTAATCTAGGCCTCGCCAGTACAAGCGCTTAATGTG